TATTGCATCTTTCTAGTCATCAGCCTTCAGTGGGGCTGCCAATCCCATCTTCAGCAAGCAGACCCCACTCCAATATTGCTGTCTAGGTAAGAATGTCACTTACATTTGTTCAAAATATCATCAGATTAGCCATTGGCAGTCCACAGGTCTGTTTACTTCCTTCTTCACTGTTTTCCTTTCTGGTTGTCAGGCACCAGTGCAGTCCTTGCTCATGCAGCCCTTAAGGTGCAGAACTGATTCTTGGGTTGCTACCACCAGATATTTAAAATGACTGTTCCTTCAGAACAGCTGCCAATCCACAGCTCCGTTCATCTCCTTATTATTTTCATTTTTATTCTTCTACTCTTTTCTATTAAGTAAACTTCTTTATCCTTACCTTCAAAACTCATGATTCCTGGATTGTCTTCTGTTTCAGTTTCAATTGGTTTCTCATTGTTCTGTTGCTGAGGGTCTTTGTCTTGTCTACTTATTCCACCTTCTTGGGGAACTCCATTAGAATGTTTCTTAAATCATATAAAGAGTAGTCAATATTAACCTCTTTTTATAGAACTATTCCTAATAAAACTACAAATGTACCTTCTCCACACACATATTTGCTTTTGTTGCTAGTTGCTTTTGAATCAATTCTGACTCATAGTGGTCACATATGTAGCAGAATGAAAATTGTTGGGCATGAAATGTGCCACCCTCACAATCTTTGTTATGTTTGAGCACCTTATTGCACCTACTTTCTTAATACATCTCACTGAGGTTCTTACTTTTTTTTACTGTGCCTCTACTTACTAAGCATGATGTCCTTCTGTAGGGAGTAATCCCTCTTGATAACATGGCCAAAGCATATGAAACCAAGTCTCATCATCCTCACTTCTAAGCAATATTCTGGCTGTACTTCTTGCAATACAGATTTATTTGTTCTTCTAATACTCCTTGATATGACTAATATTGTTCATCAATACCATAATTGATATGCTTCAATTCTTCTTTGATCTTCCTCATTCATTATCTAGCTTTCACATGCATATGAAATGATTGTTAATATTATGGCTTCAGTCACATGCACTTTTGTCCAAAAATGACATTTTTGCTTTTTAACTACAGCATCATAAACTGACAGATGATTAGTATACATAAACTTAAGTGTCACTAATCTTGTATATGTTGTTGTTGTTGTTGTTATGTGCCATGGAGTCAGACCCAACTTAGCGACCCCTCTTTGGGTTTCCGAGGCAGTATCACTTCGGAAGTAGATTGACCCATCTTCCTTCCGAGGAGTGGCTGGTGGGTTTGAACCTCCAGCCTTCTGATTGGCAGCCAAGTGTCTTTAGCCACTATGCTACCAGAGCTCCCAATCTTGTATATACACTTTCATGTTCAAAAACACATTGGTTAAGTACACACAAAAAAGGTTCCCCAGTGATTCCCACCTCCTGGTATTCATGCTTTTTATAATCCCCTACTGGGTTTCTACCTAAGAGTTCCTGAGATGGAAGCCAGTGGCTCAGTGGGAGAAAAGACCTGGAAATTTGTTTCCATAAATATTTAAGCCTAGGGAATTATATGGGGTAGTTCAATAGGGTCTGTATGAAGTTGGAATTGACTTAGTGGCACACAATATCAACAATGGCTTGTTTCTAGTCAGTATAATACAGCGAATGTAAGAGATAAAATCACTTCCATAATTAGACTATAAAAGATTGTGAATTCCTCTTGTAGAGCAAAATACTTGATAGAATAAATTCATAGGCAATGACTAATGTTCTACTTTTCCTGTGTACACACTGGCCCTGATCCAATTTACCCCTTCATAACCCATGGTATATATAAGTACATTTTTCATCTCTGGGGTTCTTAGGGGGATTTTGTTCTAATATATATAAATAAATAAATTATAAACAGGCATTGGGTGCAGTTACATGGGTAACTGTGTAAAACAGAAGGAAGTTCATTGGCAACATATTGTGTGTTGAGAGGTTATTGTATGAAAAGTGCATCCTGGAGGAGTAATTGTGTAAAACTTTTATCTCTTTGATCTTCTGAATAACTAAATAAGGCTTTTTAGTATATTTAATGTTTCCTGAGTGTTATTGGGAAAGTGTAGTATTTGGTATTAGGTAATATTCAAGGGAATATTTTTTTCCATGCCTCATCCTACCTATCCTACCACCAGAAACCACTGGGATATATATATATATGCAGTATCACTGCGGAAGTAGGATTGCCCAACCTTCCTTCCGAGGAGTGGCTGGTGGATTTGAACCACCAGCCTTCTGGTTAGCAGTCAAGTTCCTTATATATATATTGCAGTATTTCCTCCCCTCCCCTCCACTCCCACTATGGGTAACCAATAAAGAAACTTTTCTTCTGTATATAAACCTTTCCTTGACTTTTTATAGTAATGAACTAATACAAGATTTGTCCTTCTGTGATTGCCTTATTTCATTCAGCATAATGTCCTCCAAATTCATCCATGTTATGTGGTACTTTGCAGGTTCTACATCATTCTTTACTGCTGCATAGTATTCCATTGTGTGTATATACCATACTTTGGTTATCCATTCTTCTGTTGGTGGGCACCTAGATTGGTTCCATCTTTTTGCTATTGTAAATAGTGCTGTGGTGAACATGGGTGTGCATATATCTGCTCTTGTCCTGGCTCTCACTTCTTTAGGATATGTACCTAGTAATAGGAATGCTGGATCAAATGGTATTTCTAATTCCAACTTTTTAAGGAATCACCATATTGCTTTCCACAGTGGTTGGATCATTTTACAACACAACCAGCAGTGTATGAGAGTCCTAATCTCTCCACATCCTCACCAACATTTGTTATTTTCTGTCTTATTGAACTTTGCTGTTAGTGCTGGGGCCAGATGGTATCTCATTGTTGTTTTCATTTGCACCTCTCTAATGGCTAACGATCATAAACATTTCTTCATGTGTTTGTTAGCCATCCAAATATCCTCTTTGGTGAAGTGTCTATTCATGTCTTCTGCCCATTTTCTAATTGAATTATTTGTCTTTTTGTTATTGAGGTGTTGGGGTTTTCTGTAAATTTTAGTGATAAGTCCTTTGTCAGATATGTCTTTACCAATTTTTTTTTCCCAATCTTTAGGTTTTTTTACTCTTTTGGGGGTGTCTTTGGAACCACATAAAAATTAATTTTTAGAAGGTCCTGTTCATCTGGTTTATCTTCTACTGTTTGTGCATTTTAGGGTATGTTTGACAGTTATTTATGCTATAAATGGGAGCCTGTAAATTTGCCCCTAGTTTTTCCAGGAGGAACTTCACAGTCTTAGGTTTCACGTTTAAATCTTTGATCCATCTGAATTTAGTTTTTGTGTATGGTGTGAGTTATGAATCTTGTTTCATTTTTCTGCAAATAGATATCCAGTTTTCCTGGCACCATTTGGTAAAGAGACTGTCTCTTCCTCATGTAATGGATTTCAGCCATTTGTCAAAAATCAGCTGACCATAGGTATATGGATCTATTTCTGGATTCTCAATTTTGTTCCAATGGTTTATGTGTCTGTCTATGTACCAACACCAGGCTGTTTGAATACTGCAGCTAAATAGTAGGTTATGAGATACAAGATTGTAAGATCTCCTACTTTTTTCTCTTTCTTCAATAGTGCTTTGCTTATCCAAGGTCTCATTCCTTATCACATACAATTGGTGATTCATTTTTCCATATCTTTAAATAATATTGATGGGATCTTGATTGGGATTTCATTGAATGTGTAGATTGTTTGGGGTGCAATTGATATTTTCACAATGTTCAATCTTCCTATTCATAAGCATGGCATGTTCTTCCATTTATGTAGATTTTGTATGATTTCTTGAAATAGTTTTTTGTAATTTTCTTTTTACAGGATTTTGTGTCCCTGGTAAAATTTATTCCCAATTATTTTATTTATTTATTTATTTATTTATTTTGTATCTATTATA